GGGGGGGGGGGGGGGTTGGGGAGGAATAGTAAGTAGAACAAAGCGAAAAATGAATATCTTTAAGAACCAGAAACTTGGTTCAGAAAATAGTTATAGTTGAGAAATCTGATTAATCCCTGGTTATGAAACACGAAGTGATTGACACTTTTCTTGGATACCCGTAGGCCGTAGGGATATGTGATTCCTCCTTGTTTCTGTACGAGAGGATCATGCAACACTACCTTGTTTTTTAAACGATTTATGGTTATTTTCTGGTGGTTAACAACTCAAATTGTATCAGATTTTTAGCATGCTACTTTTATAATATATTGGTTCCATTATGATTTGTTAACAATCAATTGTAGGCGCTAGAAAACCATTTGAAGCTATATTTGTCTCCAGTTCGAAGAAGCATGATGTTTGCGATCCACTAATTGTAATCCTTCACGGGGGCCCTCATTCTGTCTCCACATCAGGCTTTTCGAAGTCCTTAGCATTCCTTGCCTCACTTGGTTACAGCTTACTGATTGTAAATTATAGGTTAGTCGGGGGTTTTCCTTCTATTTTACTATGCTTCTTTTTTGGGTGAAAATAATTATATACCCATTCCAAAGCTCAGCACATAATTTAAGTTTGAATAAGACATGGCAATGTAGGAGACAGAAAACTGCCAAGTCCTATTACCTGTACAGATAGTTTTATGGACTTTTGAATATGTCTATATTTATCTAAGTCAAATACAGCTTCATAGGGCAACTTGACATAACACCTATTGTGGTGGTTTGGATATGTGTATACCGCTGAGGAAGAGTGACATCTTCTTTATTAATGAAAATTGTAAGTGTTGAAGTATAAATATTAAAGTTACACATTCTCCAACAACTTAAGCATTTAGAGTAGATAGTTGTTTAACATGGTATCAGAGCAGGAGGTCATGTGTTCAAATCTCATCGCCACTCAAATGATTAAAAGATTTTCACGTTTTAGGCTCAAAATCTAATCTGTTTAATACTGAAGTTAAACAATCTCTAACAATTTATGTTTTTAGAGTAGATAGTTGTTTAATACTAGGGAAAGGGGAAGACCAAAATTAATATGGAATGTTGTAATGAAAAAGGAAATGGTTACTTGTAAGTCCATAGAGTATACAACCCTTGGCAGAGCAGAAGGTGTAGAGAACTTATGTGGCCGATTACAAATAATTAGTACAACTTTGCTTGGTTTAGTTTGAATAGAACTAAATAAGACTTCAAAAGCCATAAAAACATCTTTTTTCTTGAGTAGTAATAACAAAAAAATTGATAACAAAGGAAAAATATTTCAAGATTTTAACGGTGCAGTTGATATAGGCCGGGTGGGTTAAGAGATCAACTCAAGATCAATCCAAGTTATGAAACTCTCAATCCGAGTCCTTTAATCATCTTATTTCCTATGCTTAAATTTTTAAACTTGGCTTGAATTTGGGTTAGTGTTAAAATTTTGGTTGAAATTGTGTTCAATTTTAATTTGGTTCTATAGGTTACACGACTTGAGCTAACATTCGGGTTTTATCATTAGGTTCAACCTTGGATTGAAGTTTGAGTTGGATTCTAGTTCGGCCTAAATTCTTTGATTTTGATTGGGTCATAAAAACTTGAAACCCTAACTTTAGTATTGTTTGAATTTAAATTAAGCTGTAACTTGTTTCCCTAAGCCTAACTCAAGCATTACTTAAAATTTTGGTTTGGGTTAGGGTTAACCCACCCAAGTTGCACCAGTACAATCTTTTTATAAACTTCTATTTGAATAAGACAACCTATTTGTAATTTCTGTGTTGGGTGGTTCTCTATATCTCATAAGGGCTAAGAAGTACGGATATGGACACTTGTGTCCTATTCGATACGATATAAACAAGGGGATATGACAAAGTTCGAAAATATAGGACACAAGTATGACAATGATACAACTAATTAAAATATTATATATTTTTTAGAAAATGTTAGAATTTTAATATATTAAAGTCAAAGCATAATTTATAACAATATTAATAATAAGACCTTAGGAATATTAATTTTTTATTAAAATTAAAGTATATCAAAATTCACATCCACCAATTTTACCAAACATCATTACGTCCATTAACATTCATAGTCCATAAGTTACATGACCAAAACACAAACAAAATAAAAACAGTCTTGAGATTTAAAGAAAATCTTAGTTGTGTCCTAGCCGTGTTGTATACGTATCTTAGCTATGTGCTAACTGTGTTTGACTGTAAAAATAAAATAAAATAAAATAAAAAACAACAACATTTACTAAAGGATACTTTTGGCCATGTCAAACACTTGTCCGACACTGCCACGACACCCTTCCGGCAAGTTATCTATGCTTCCTAGCATAAGGGTTATCATTTGACCCTTTGCTTGGGGCACCTTTTAGATTATCATGCCTTCATGGGAGAGTCAAGAGATAAGATTCAAGTAGATATATAATACTGCAACATTGCTCAAGTAGATATAACATGCTGAAGCAACATCACTTCACCTGTACCTTTTTGTTTTTAGAAATTTAAAGAGAAGCTCATTAAGAATTAAGAATAGTTAAGATCTTCATTGATTTTCTTGGGATGAAGGAACAATCTTTCTGGAGACTAGATTTATTTTGGCCAGAGGATGGACATTGTTATTTTCTTGTTCCTTTGGGCTCAGAGCACCCTCCCAATTCTTTTCCCATGTTTTTTTTAATTTCTTGTAAATAAAAAGTGTCATAAGATAGTTTCTGGAATTGTGTCACTTTTTTTCTGTCAAAATTGTGCCACTTCATTATTATTATTTATTGTTTATGAAAACCTGAACTACTTTTTCATTCAAGCATCTTGTAACTTGGTAACATATCTCAGAGGTTCATTGGGATTTGGTGAGGAAGCATTGCAATCTCTTCCAGGGAAAGTTGGGTCACAGGTCTGTATCCCTAGTCCAATCAAGTTGTTCATGCTGTCTGGGGAGGCCTTGTTAACATTAGTCTCTTGCTTTAAATTGGTGCAGGACGTCAATGATGTTCTCACTGCTATAGATTATGTCATTGACAAGGGACTTGCAAACCCATCTAAAATAGCTGTGGTTGGTGGTTCTCATGGTGGCTTTTTGACAACACACTTGATTGGTCAGGTGCTGTAGTTTTGCAAAGAGTACCCCTTTTGATATTAGTGTGTTGCCTTCTACTGTTTGTTGTGTGTAGTCCTATGGCCATATAAAGGTTTGGTTGTGGAATTTCTGGGACTGGATATTGGAGTTATTTTTCTAATGTTTTTTCTTCTTCTAGTGTGAGCATGGACTCGCTTCAGAAATGTATTTTCCTTAGTATTGTATATTCTGCAGGCTCCAGATAAGTTTGTTGCAGCTGCCGCAAGGAATCCTGTCTGTAACCTCGCTTTGATGGTGGGTACAACTGATATACCTGATTGGGCTTATGTGGAGGCATACGGAAGTGGGGGGAAGTCTAGCTTTACAGAAGCCCCCTCACCTGAACAGCTCGCTCTCTTCCACCAAAAATCTCCTATTGCACACCTCTCAAAGGTCTGAGTTTTTCTCTTTTTTCAAATGGTCATGTTATGTGGCTTATTTATATACCTTGAGAAAAACCTTAAAGAGTTTAGATTGTGTACGGACAATCACCCCATAAACTGGGAAACATGACAAAAACTTATTTCACGTGTCTGATCAACCTTCCATGCTGAATTTTGTTCGCAAGCTTTGTCTTTTTGACACAGCCAGGCGTTTCATCTCCTAACAGTGAATCATTAATTCTATGAATAATTATATTTCGCAAGATGGATTTATCAATGCTAAGTTCCTTAATTTTTTATGAACTCTGCAGGTCAAAACTCCTACAATTTTTCTTTTAGGTGCGCAGGATCTTCGCGTCCCAGTTTCTAATGGATTGCAAGTAAGACTCCACACCTCTTCTGCATCTGTACCCTTCATGGGGAGCCTTACTTATTCGGTGGCTAATCTGGTACTGAGTTCTTGGTGCATGCTCGAGGACTTACCCAGCCTCGAGCAGGTATAAGTTTAGTACATCCTGGGGTAGTTATTCCTTTAATGGAAACACCTATACTAGGACTGCCGGATGAATTCGAGTTTGAAATTTATTGTCAACTGTTGTTGAGATGTGGACATAGGGTGTCGTATACAGGTACCTAATTAGAGCAGGAGTAAAGCTGTATATCTTACATGTCTATGCATATCTGCTCACGTACTGTATGCTAAATACATATCTGTGGGTGTTTTTGGTTAATGACGAAACCAAGTCAAACCTAACTGCCCTAATTCACTCCCACACACTACGAACTCGTACTGTTGCAAATTGGGTGTGAAACTGATATGAATTTGTGGGTTCATCTTTTTGAATACGTAGGTCCAAAATGTTATTTTATTTAGTGCACTGCAATGCCACTTTTAACATGCATCATGAGCTGCTATACACCGTATGATTTTTGTTGATAAATCCACCATCTCATTCAGTTTTATGTGTTAATTTTCCTGCTGATCAAATATTGTTGCAAGATTGAAAAATATTGGCCAATAATATAAAGACAATATGTGACAAACCAATGATTTTGTATTTTTAATGCCCATGACTATAACATTTCCTGCAAGTGCATGGATATTTGGTTGATAACAGAGAGATTACATTTGCAAGAATGAAACTTAAAAGGAGTTATGGTCCAAATAGAATGTAAATGGTATCCCATTTTGTCATTCATCCACATTATCCAGCATGTTAGAACTGTTATACACAAACATGGTAGCTGATTTCGTTGTACCAATTGTTTTGCTTATTGAATTATTTGTGGATTCTAGATACAAATGTTTGTATGACATGATAACGTGAATGTTTTAATTTTTGTATTGTGCAGTATGCACGGGCACTGAAGGAGAAGGGTGTTGAAACCAAAGTCATTGTGTTTCCAAATGATGTTCATGGAATTGATAGGTAAGCTACCTCCCTATGTGCTAACTTTAGTCAGTCTAATAATCTTTCTTTCTAACATCATACTGGAGAGCTTTATCTGGTACAGAAAACTAACTTTTCATCAAAAGTTATTACCTAATCAAAATGAGGTCCGATTCAAACAGATCCAATTACAACCCAATAAGATCGATCTAGGAATTTTGATCTCATTGAATCGTAACTTGACTTTTGTTCCGTGTTGATCCATAGATTTTTCCCTCACTTGGTAGTGGAGCCTAAGACATGCTTCTCTTTTGCAGACCGCAGTCCGACTTCGAGAGCTTCCTTAATATTGGAGTGTGGTTCAAGAAGTATTGCAAATAAGCAGTGAATCAAGTCTATGTTTTACCATACCAATGTTGTTCAACTCTCATTTGTTTTACCATACCAATGTTGGATATATTGTAATACTGCATGATGGATTTTTGGGGTTCATTTTCTTTTTAAATATATAATGGTTTTATTGTCCAAAAATCTAACTACAACCCAGTTCATTTCACAGCAGCAACGTTCACAAATGCAGCAATGTTCCAGGCAACTTACAAGCTCTGGTTTCTGACTTATCGTATCAGCTACTAGATTCGTGCGTCCTAGCTAATAAGAACAAGGAAATTCCATCTTTTCTAATTCCCTTGCTCAGTTTGGTTATAAACCTTTTGTTTCGAGTGTTGTCTACTAAAACGATTCAAAATCCAGCCTTCGATCGAAAACCAAAATCGCGGACAAGGAAACGGTCTTTACAAAAATATTTAACAATAAATCTGAGGAAGAATGCGTAAATTTTGAAAAATTACTTTTATCATAATTCGAAAATTGGTATTCCTATGAAACATTTGGCTCTAGCGAACAAAAAGGATATGCAAATTTGCGATTTAAGATTTGGCATTTGATAAATTCTTTATTTGATGCGAAGATTTCAGCAAATAAATGAATTTTGTATGATTCTCAAAAAAATTTGGCATCAATTTTAAACAAATTCGTGAATTTATTCCAAAAACTAGAGGTGGGACCATTGAGTTTTTTATTTTTTATTTTTTATTTTATTTTGTTTTCTGAAATTGATCTTAGCTCCGGAGTTTTCATCACAAAACAATATTGCAATTATAACACGCCGTCTGTGGGAATCGAACCCACGACCACGTGGTTAAAAGCCACGCGCTCTACCGGCTGAGCTAAGACGGCTTGTGTCTTCAGAGCAGAAGATATTTTTTTAAGATCATCCTCAACCCACTAGCTATTCCCCCCTCCGTACTTATTTGGGCGAGTTTCACCCCCAAAAATCAATTCCTACTCAGTTAGTTATTCTCCTCGCCAAAATCTAGGAGGCTTTCATGCTCGCCAGACCTAGAAAGGCCACTTGCTCACCACTTCTTGTTGCTCTTCCCCTCCCTTCTATTTTGCTATAGAAACCCACCCCATTCCCTTCTATTTTGCTGTAGAAACCCACCCCCTTCTCTATTGATTTTTGTTATCGATTGGTATTTATTTTTGGTTAAATATGTGGTTAAATTGCTATTGATTTGTGGTTAAATTTATACAATTTATGATTGAATCACTATGATCAATTGATTTTTGTTATTTCAAATGAATGAGTTGTTAAATAGTTAGCTAAAATAGAGAGCGTTGTTAGAGTAAATTTTAAAAAATAAATAACTAAAATAGAGAATACAATATTTAAATATATTTTAACTAACAAATTTTGCTGAGCTAAGTTGGATATGCTCTAATTCATTACTAGATACACCAACTGTTTGTACAAACTGAGCTCCACAAACACCTCACACAACATGAGAGATGTTGGTTTTTTGTGGAGTATAGTTTGTATATGTGATCTGGATGATGACCTGACCCGAAATAATGTTGTGTGATTTTTTAATGGAAATTTTTTTAAGACTTAGTCCATGGAGCGAAGGCTTGGGCCGTAGTGCTCATGGACAAGTCTCGTGGGGGTTCGAGAGCAACGCCCCCAAGAAAAATTTTTGGGCCCGTTATATAACCCAGTGCGTAGGATATATAAAACTCGTTGTTTTGGTGATTAGGGTTAATATGGTGGATTGTACAGCCGCTCTCTGTATTCAACTCTCTCAATAGTGAAATCCCTGTAACTTCGTGGACGTAGGCAAATTGCTGAACCACGTAAAATCTATGTCTTATTCTTTCTTGTTTCTTATTACTTTATATTCTTGATTTGTTCTTCGATTGTGTGTGTTTGTTAGTGGATTTAAATTGTTGTTAAATCCCAACAAGAGATTCAAAAAGGCAACAAAAATAAAAATAAAAATAAAAAAACTTTAATCCGCTTGGATTGTTTTGTATGTTCAGCGTTCAGGTCTTACTAATCATCTTAAACCTAGAGTGACACTTTCTGGTTTGTCGAGATGGCTGTGGTAATTGCTTGTACATAGAAAATATTCATTAATTGTAACGGTTATATTACGTCAGTGATATAACTGTCCAATAATAATTCAAGAAGTGGCAAAGTAAAATACACTATTTCAAATAATTACTTGTCCATTTAAAATGATAAGCACTCTATGTAAACAAAAGCGATTTTTAATTTGCTTATTTGTTAAGTTATTATTTAACGGTTCCATCACTTGTAGGAGTGTTTACTCTACCATACGGGTAGAAAATATAGGAGTTGTTTGGTAACTGTTTTTGTCTTGTATTTTATGTTTTTTTTTTCAATTTTTGTCAAAAATAAAAACAAAAATACGTTTGAATACTGTTTTTGTTTTATATTAATTGTTTGGATCCAGAAAATTTGCAAAACACAAAACACGTGGGGTTGGGATAAATGAGGTCTCACCTTCGAGTCCCCTTAGCCACAAAATACTACTTATATGAGAGAGTATAAATATGGGGTCCCTTCTCTTTTCTTCTCTGTCTCAGCGATCTCTCTCAGCATCACTCACAGATCGACGAAGCCCCTCAGCTACTCTCTTCTCTTCTCTGTCTCAGCAAGCTCTCTCAGCACCACTCACAGATCGATGAAGAAGGCTTACCTCAAGAAGAAGGGACTTCCACTCATAGATCGACGAAGAAGGAACTTCCTTTCGCTGTGAAGGTAAGTGTCATCCGCTTACTTGTATAGATCTATGTATATATATAAATAAATCTGTATATGTATGCATAGATCTACATAGATCTGTACATCACAAATCCTAATTGTTTTTTTTTTGTTTTATCTATATTTTGTTCACCACAATATACATAGATCTGTATATTTGTATGTAGATCTGTAATTTTTTTTATCCAACCGCACTCTTCCATCTTCTTGTTTGGTTGGTTTGTCTCCTCCTCTGAAATGTCTCTCGACGTTGTAGTTGCCTTTGCTTGTGATGAGACTTCAATTTCTTCAATTCAAGCCAATCTTTAGGTCTAAACTTCAAAACCCATATCGAATTTGTCGGATTTTATATCTATTATTCATTCAAATTTGCTGAAAAAAATATGTGTTGGTTATGTATTAGTAAGCTTAGAGGCACATTGATTAACTATTGTATGTGAACAATGTGAACTGATTTTGAGCTTTATTATTTATTTGGATGAGTGGGTGAGTCAGTTTTTGGTGTTCTTATTTGGAATGACTTGCGTATAACAAAAAGACATAGGCAAAAAATAAGGTTGTTATTGCAACAAAATAAAATAGAATTTTGGTTATTGAATTTGTGGCTTAAACCCCATGATTTTGCGCTCTTTCTGCACAAAAGTCTTTTTTTCTTGTAAATTCATTTTTTTCCTATTTAGATAGAGGGGGCTTCAAGTTCTTAGGAAGAGCCAATTACTGAATCGCTTCCCAATGGTATGTTCTGGGTTTGTTTCAATAGTTGATTTTGAGAATCAACCAACCCACAAATCCGTCCATAAAGACGCCATGTATGATGGATTTCACTGCACCACACTATCAACACTATATCCTATTTCTTAACACTAGGATAGGGAAATGCTTGATTTATAAGTGTGAACATGGATCTTATTTTATCATATAAACAGTTACAGAACACGTGATTTTCTCTATTTTTTTCCTTTTGATGCCATCTGGTATATTTATCCATCCCACTTGCAACCAACACGTATACCAAGGTATAATTCTAGCCTAGAAGACCATATTATTCAAAATGGTCAAAAAAATTCTGCTCCTATGAAGAAGTCAAATTAACAGAATACTAATATAAGCTCTCATTTACTAAGCATGAATAAAAATCATATGCTCTGGTGTACAAAGGACATAAATGACAATTTTATGAAATTTGCAGGTTGTTGAATGTTGAGTTTAAGCATGTCTAGAGAGAAGCAAACATGGTTGCAAATAAGCTTGTTAATCAAGCAGTTCGAGACAGAAGGTCTATGGATTATGCTGCTCTTTTGCAGGTGCCCTACGCTGTGAAATTGGCTTTACTCCAGGATATGGTAAAAACTCTTCTGAATTCTTATCCGAAAACCAAAAACTCTTCTGATTTCTTATCTGATTTTTATGACTAGTCGTTCAGTAAGATAGCGTAGGATTGGATAAGATAATAAATTGCGGTCAATCAAAAATTTAAACACCCCTAATCACTCGACAATGTTCAACAGTTAGATATTTACTTCTGTCCCTGGTTGTACACATGGTTTTGAAAACCGGTTTCATTGCCGGCATTGCCACTTTGGCTGGTTTTATTATTATTGGGTCGTTTATGTTTTGATCCTTTGTAATATGATATATTAAATACACCAAAGTTTTCCATACTCAGGAATCTGCACTTTTGACTGCGATACACATATGTAGCTGGTGGATAAGCCCCTTTAGTCATTTTTGAGTATCTACTCTGGTATATGCTTCAGGTGGTGGCTTTTGCAGCCTGCTTTTGTTCATTTGTAGAGTGGCAAGTGGTATCAACCTCAAGAATAGACGAGTTATAAATTTTAATGTTTGATTAAGTCTAAAAGTGAAAAAAAAAAGTATTTAAGGTATTCGAAAAGTCATCATATATCATATAGTAATGTGAACACTCGATAACAGACTGTCACAAAAATAATTTGTTGGACACATAATTGATTTTTGTAACAAAAAAAAAATACTGACATGTATATGTGTCAGATATTCATTGAACACATAATTTTTAATTAATAATGTACACCAGATAGAACTCGGTGTGTTAAACGCATTGAAAAATTTCTCAAGAATGAGACCATGACGGCATGATTTCCAACAGAGTAGGGTGGGTGGGTTTGGTTGGTTGGTTGGTTGGTTTGGCATTTCCTTGCATTGCGTTTTGTAGAAGAGGACTGGCTATGTAGATGACTACATCTAGTATGGGTTGACAATTTGTTGAGCTGAATGAGTTGAATTGTAACCGTGAGAAAGTACGATACTGAATTCGGTATCTTACATTAAACAGATTGTAGTTGTGACACATGATCTTCAAAAAAGTTGGATTTGTTTATACCTAAAATATAGCAAGGGTGATATGTAGAGTGAATCTAACTGTTACAAGAGAGTTTGTAAGAGTCTATAATTGACAAAACGGTTAGAAGAATAAGATTCTTAGAATTCCAGAAAATAAGAAACGAGAAAATGTGAGATCATGAGTCATCGGTTATAAATGGTTCAATACACATTTATGTAGCTCAAGCGACAAGACCATGATCACAAATAATGATCGAAGAAAATGGATCAACGATTGAGAGTCATCTTCATAAATAGTAAGGGTCAGACCACTAAAAAAAGATCCCACGATCAATCACAAAAATTCTTCACAGAACCAACCTACCTTTTCACTTGATTCTTATTTTTGACTGATTTTACTTTTCCAGTAGTGTATCGCTTCGGTGATGTTTTACTGCTTTCATTTAATGCTATATTTAATATTCATTTCATTTTTCATATTTAAATTTAATTTATTTGTTACTTTGTATTTCCACTGTTTACTTTACAATATCGTTCATAGTTCATACATCTCTAATTGGTTAAATTATTTAAAGTCTTTGAAGTTGTAAGACATATGAAAGAAGAATTTGTTACCAAAATATAGTACTTTTTAAACAAAATGTCAATCTACTATACTTTTAAACTTATTTATCGATCTACGAAATTTTTTGAAAATAGAATCAAAAATTCTGCTTTCAACACGATTTCACTTTGAAAGTGGCTTATAAGTATTAAACATGTTATTGTTGATTCCACTTTCATGGTGAAAGTATCATTAACATTGATTCCGCATTTAAAAACTTCACTAGATCAGTAAACAAATTTTAAAATGCGATAAATCAATATTTTTGTTTAAAAGAGATGTATTTTGGTAATAGATTCTAAAAAATAATTTAGAGATAATCTTACTCCTCGCTACATTCGCATGAATAGTCACAATTTTAAAATCTCACATCGATTCGAGAAACAAGGTCATTCATGTTTGAATTTTAAATCCATTTAAATTTTAACACGCTTACGACTAAAAAATATGCAAAACATGATCTATATGACATTTTTTTGGATCTAAATCATTGGATCGTTAGTCAACTTTTTTGAATTGTGAATTTTTAACCATATATAAGGAAGATGGCCTGTAGGCATTGAAACAGAGCTAAAGTTCTTATCACCCTGCTGCAACTGGTGATTAAGCTATTTTATGAGACAGTGGAAGCAGTAAACTCTATTTTCATAACCTTTTTTCTTGAGTAAGTTCTACAATTCTACCAACAAGAACCACTTGTAGCACAAACTTCAACTACAAGAATGCTTCAAATGTCGCAAAACCATTGATGTAGGTGAAGATTTATGTTTTATTTTTTTTGGAAAGTTCGATTTTAAAACTTACCACTCAATCCAATTTGAGAAAAAATTGGGAGGATCGATCCAAAGTTTAGTTTTTTTTATTTTTTAATTCAATTAAATTATAACTTTGATTGATACAATCGTAATTTTTGAAGTTTGGTAGAGAATACGCAGCTACACGGTCATAATCAAGAAACACACGAGATATTTATGGAGTGTGCAACTAAAACACTGTAACTTCAAACCTAATTTACAATAAGAAATTGAATCTTTCATCAACATTAGCTCCTCCTGCTACTACAGAGCAAACTCAGTAAAGTTCTTCCATCACCACCAAAGCAGCCAATGAACCATGCTTACACCACTGTACATCATCTCTCTCTCTTCATGACCCTCCATTGTCCCACGAGAGAACTATATCTCCAAGCCCAGCTTTCATGTCCTCCCATTGTGCCTCCTCAAACTCCACCGCTCCACCAACCACCTTCAGTTCCACCACCACCAACTCCNTTCATGACCCTCCATTGTCCCACGAGAGAACTATATCTCCAAGCCCAGCTTTCATGTCCTCCCATTGTACCTCCTCAAACTCCACCGCTCCACCAACCACCTTCAGTTCCACCACCACCAACTCCACCGCCACATCTAAAATTTCCACCAGTAAAACCACACTACCCTTCACCAATCCAATAGCCCCACCCTTCCCTCNCCACCGCCACATCTAAAATTTCCACCAGTAAAACCACACTACCCTTCACCAATCCAATAGCCCCACCCTTCCCTCTCTCCAATCTACACCCCAATTCCTCACCAATTTTCACCACTCTGTCTTCAATCTCTCCAACTGTAGCCATGCTTGTAAATCTTCTCTCTTTCTTATTCATCCCCACCTCAAAAAGCCCAGATAAATCCAACCCAGACGACATTGAAATTATATCAAACGCATTGATACTCGACCCATATTTACATTTTTCATTCACAGACATCGAATCAAATTCAAAACCCAATTGTGATTCAACTCGTAAAGACTTTTTGAACCAAGCAAGATTCGTCATTTCTTCAATACTCAGTCTTGTACTTGGAATCGGATCAAGTAACCGGTAAATTATTTGCCTCGCCGGCTTTGAAATCCAATCAGGAAACTGAAACTCTCGCCGGTATATCTTTTTGAACATGTTCGGCAAGTTACTATCATCAAAAGGAAGATACCCAGAAAGAAAAACGAATAAAATCACCCCACAAGACCAAGCATCAGCCTTGGCACCATCGTAGCCTTGCCGGCGAACTACCTCCGGGGCTGTATACGCCGGAGTTCCACAAGCCGTGTGGAGAAGCCCGTCCTTGAGCTGCTCAGGAAGAGCTGAGAGACCAAAATCAGAGATTTTTAGGTTACCATGTTCGTCTAGGAGGAGGTTTTGGGGCTTGATATCGCGGTGAGTGACGCCGTTTTGGTGGCAGTACTGGAGGGCAGAGATTAGTTGCTGAAAGTATTTCCGGCCGGCTGACTCACCGAAACGGCGACGTTTGGCGAGCTTTGTGAAGAGTTCGCCGCCGTGGGCGAGCTCCATGATGAGATAGATTTTGGTCTTGGTGGCCATGACTTCGTGGAGGTTGAGGACGTTTGGGTGGTGGTTGAGGCGGCGCATGGCGGAGACTTCATTGAGAATGCGAGACTCCATGAAGGGTTGAGTCATGGTTGCTTTGTCTATGACTTTAACGGCAACTGTAGTGTTATCAATCAGAGATCGGCCATGGTAGACTTTGGCAAAGCTGCCTCGGCCCAATAGGTGGCTAAGTTGGTACTTCCCTAGTATGACTCCACCACCACTGTTGTCAGTAGTGCCGGCGGCAGCGGTGGAGGGTCGTGGTACCCTCTTGGAATCCATGGCTCTGGCCCTAGGGTTGGGGTAGAAGAGAGAGAGAGAGAGAGGCCACAACTCTCCAAACTGAGAGCCGGTCCGTTCAACTAAACCACCACCAAAATTACCAAAATATCCTCGCCACTTCGTTCATTGCTGGCTATGTTCTGTCTTCTATCAGAGTTAGNTTGGGGTAGAAGAGAGAGAGAGAGAGAGGCCACAACTCTCCAAACTGAGACGGCCAGGCAAGTTGATTTGGTGGTGGTTTTAATGGTTTTATAGGAGCGGTGAAGGTTCATTGCTGGCTATGTTCTGTCTTCTATCAGAGTTAGGAGTGTATTTGTTGTGAGATTACTGATTTACCCCTTGGTTTTCTTGTGACATTGCTCCGAAGCTCAGTTTTGACTTTTTGTTAAATATACAACTTTGTCTCACCAAAGTTATTAAAAAGTTCCAATTTTATCAGAGGCAATAATTATGTGATAAAAAACAAAACATAATTAAGAAGTTAATTTAAATTTTGATGGAATACTAATTTTTTTCTTTTTTGATCAGGAAAATAAGAGAGAGGGGTGACCAGCAGGTAGTGATCTCTTGAGCGTGACCATGAGGGTCTCCCTCAATGTGGAATGTTCGCTTACGCATAACTAGAGACCCCTTTAAAATAACATGTCACCACATCATCACCGAAACACTAATGAGTAAGACAAGAGGTCGTGTGAATCGATATCTACTGGCTAACTTGGTGAGATTCAGAGAACGAACCAAAATGGGCACACCTTACCATTAGACCACCAGCTCTTGTTGTTGTTGGAATACTAATTAAGAAACATGTTTGGTAAAAGAATATTAGGCTTATTCGGAGCTGATTTTCTTAGGTGAAAAGTTACAATTTGAAAAATTTTGCAAAAAAATTAGAATTAAAAAGTCCCTCAAAACCGGTTAAACTATTCTTTAAAAAGTTGAAAAAATTAGAAATGTTTGTTTGAAGTGATTTTTTTAATTTTTTTATGTTAAAATAAAAAAATAATGACATGAATGTATAAATTATGGATAATAGTTTTCAAATTATGAACTGTAAATTTTTTTATGTCACTAATATTATTTTATAAAAATAATAAATTAAAAAATTATATGAGACCCGTGATAAAACTCTAACAAAGTCAAAAAAAAAATCTTACAAAATCATTTTTTTGATTCAGACCAAATAAATCTTTTTGGGTTTTAACGGACCCGACTTATTTTACTCAAAAATCCATAAAATTACTTATTTAAGCTAGTTCCAAACAAACCCATTGTTTCAACTACACGTTTTTTGAATTCACATCTGCAAGATAATTCTCAAATATACGCACCGATTAAACTCAAATCTTATCTAATTATATAATTTGAACTCAAAATAGATAAATTATATATCCTGTTTTTTGTCAACCACTGAATGACTCCTGTACAATTGTATGCTTGCAATTCTAATTATTTAAAAAAATAATGTACAAAATTCCAAATTTCAGCTTCTTAAGTTCTTGAAGGTTAATAGCATTAGTAAAGCAATAGCTAATAAACCACTTCTAATCAACATCATTGGTAACCGGAAAAAGTGTTACATTTAGCTTTATTTTATTGAGGAATATTCTATTATTACCTATTCTTTTTATCATCTTACTTTTCCATCATGTCTCACTCCCCGGATCTCCGCGAATCTATTACTGATCTACCCTATTTATCAAACTTATTTATTAATCTATTATCGTTTTCAATTTAATTATCAAATTATCGTTGTTTTAAAAGCGAATTTGACAAATCTGACTTCATGGAAAAAGTAAATTTAAAAAATTTGACTTCATTTCAAAAGCGAATTTGACAAATCCGACTTTATAGTGAAAGCGGATTTGGCAAATCCGATTTTATGGGAAAAGTGAACATACCAAATTTGACTTCATTTAGAAAGTAGACCTACCAAATCCGTTTTTTAATATTTCATCTAATTTTCTTACTGGGATACCATCCGAAATTCTTGACTTTATATATTTTTTCCCTAAAAAATAAATCACTCATTTTTATCATATATTTAATTATTTAATATTTGATTAATTTGTAGTTAATATATTTTGAAAAAATTTAATATAGTAGAATCGATTTTTTGGATGCTCGAATTTTATATTTTATCGTGCCTTTAGACACGAGTTATAACTAATAAATTTAGATAGAACCTATTAGTGAATTTTTAATGACTAATAAAAGTGAGTAATTTATTCACAAAGAATATAGAATCAGAGAGACTAAACGTGTTCAATAAATAACCAAATACTCTTTTGACGATTAACACAATTATACATATAAAGGCTTGCACCTTGGTAAGTCTGCTTTCTATATAAAGGTGGATTTGGTATGTCCGCTTTTCATATAAAGACGGATTTGGTATGTCCGCTTTTCCTATGAAGTCGAATTTCTCAAATCTGCTTTTCAATTGAAGTCGAATTTGTCAAATCCGCTTTCCCGTGAAGTTGGATTTGTCAAATTCGCTTTTAAAACAACGGTAGTTTGGTAAATAAGTTGAAAACGGCAGTAGATCGATAAATAAGTTTGATAAAATGAGGTATACTGGTAATAGATTCGGATCTCCATCATCTATTTTTAACTTTTTCATTGCTAACCTTGAAGTTCTAAAACAAAACAAACTAATAACATTTTAGTGAATAAATTTTTGGTTATCATATAGAGTATTCAATTTGTTTGGAAATTTGTACAAAATTTTCAAACTTGCGAGAAATAAAAATAGAGAAAACACACGTAAAAAAAAATAATCACACGCACAAGACAGTGTTTACGTAATTCGGCAATTTGCATATGTCCACAAAGTTGTAAAAATTTTACTATTGAGAAGAATAAATACAAAAGGCGGCCGTACAATATCAATCAATCCAATTACAAAAAAAATAACAGATTTTATATGTCCTGCATCAGCCCAAGTCTATACTCCATGGATTAAGCCTGAAAAAAGTTTTCATTAAAAATCACGCAATATTATTTCGGTTGGGTTATCATCTGGATCAACACAAACTAGATTCCAACAAAACCCAACACAATTATACACAACATAAATTTAATTATAATAATTTATATAAAATGTTATAGCTAATTTGAATAAATTTTGACAAGATATGACTAAGATATGACATAAATTCAACAAGACCATATTCTTAATTAGTCCTAATTTCAATATCCACATTTTTAAGCTTTTCATTGTCAATGTTTCAATTGTTATTCTAAAAATAAAAAAATCTACAAGGGGTATTTTTAAAATTTTTTAAGTTGGCAAAAAAACGTAATTATACATGATACAAAGTTCGATTGGATAAAATATGAACTCGACAATAAATGATTCGGATATAAACTAAATTCTTTTGAGAGACGATATAGGTTAACACCCGACACAAACCCAATATTGTACGTCCCATTTTCAACATTAATATCAATGTACCTATTTTTAACTTTTTGATTGTGGTCATTTTTGTCGTAAAGATATTTGATACTTCTTCTTTTTGTTGTCTTATCAAAATAATTTCTAAAAAATTCGACGGTGGATAATTTTTTTATGATTTTAATAAACCTTATCACTTTCACTTTTTAAAAAACCCAAATTAATTATCTTTTTAGTAATTGATGACAGGTTAGAATATACTTTGTCCTCTAAATAATATCTTTCCCTCCACTAAGCATACTCCAATGATCTCAAGATATTTAGCTTGCTTTCATGTGCAACTTGGGTTATAAATCAAGTAGATTGGTCCCTTTTTGAGCCATCTCTCTCTCTCTCTCTCTCTAAATAATTACCTAACCCCCACTAAGCATACTCCAATGATCTTAAGATATTTAGCTTGCATTCATAGTCAAATAAATTAGTCCCATGAGCCACCTCTCTCTCTCTCTTACTTTTCTGGGAACCTTCACGGATTACCCACCGTTGATTGCCGTTCTACTTGGTCAAATTTCAAAAATCTTTTGGTCTTTTTAAAAAACAGAGAAAAACACAAAGTTGTAGTTGTCATTTTGAGGAAGACCAAGAACTTTTTGGTCATATAAAGAAAAGTTCCAAGTCTCCTTATCAGTTGGTTCGTTTAATGACTCTGCATTTACACTGGTTGGGGATTTTTTGTCTCAGTTCTCGGAACTTGGTCAAAATTGGAACCGAAAGATGACCGGTTATAAATTCAGATATTTTAAATTTTAATTTTGATAATTTTTTAAAATTTAACTACCAAAAATTTATCTCTAATGAATATTCTAAATTTTTATATGAATGATTTGTCTTTGATCGAATTAGAGAAGAGATTAGTCGAGAAGCGTATAAATTAACCTCGATACGCCTAACCCTTAAACGGGAAAAAAAAAATGGGAAGGATTAATTTTTTAGAGAAAATAATCCCATGAGGAGAACTAAAGGGTGAGAAAAATGTTCATCTATGGATTCAGATGTGGCACCGAAATTTACTAAATTTATGGACATTTTTATTCTATTTGTGGTAAAAGTAACCCTAAATTCAGTAATTTTTTTTGTGTCTTAAAAAAGTAGTAAAAATAATTATTACAACTGTGATAAAAATACTCATAATAGTGATAAAAAAATTCACAAAAATGATAATTTTTTTTATTATAAAATGACTCATAAAAATCATAATTTTTTGTATTATTATTTAAAATAGTAAATTTTAAAAGTATAATACTAAAATTTTTTTAACAGTAACGTAGTTAAGATAGAATTTGTACTGATTGGGTGATTTGTTAGATTGGGGGTTTTTTTTTTTTTTGGGGGGTGGGGCCAAGGCGTGGCCTAGGAGGTTCCACTGCACTTTGCTGTTTTTGTATTTCCCTTTGTATAATAGTACACGTTTTGTTTGAATAATTTCAACGTTGTTGTAAGTTTACTCGGGCGGCTAAGAATGACCCGTGTGGCAAAACTGATGAGCGGTGTATAATCAGTGGTCCCCAACCACAGAAGTCACACTGCACACAGTCTGGTACACTCGAAAAACAGAAACGTCACCTAAGCTCGCGTGCTCAATGTAGTCATCACTCTTTTTTATCAGAACTGTATGTACTTACATGGGGAGAGGGCGAGGGCCGAACCATGAATAATTCTAACAAAAATTTCAT